CAGCATAGAGTAAATAAAGTGTTGCTTTAATGGCCACATTGATAACAAGTTTAAGAGAAGCCTAGACATAACTTAGTACTTATATACTATACCTATTCTTATAATCTAAATTTCTTCAAACACACCATTATTTGTAGCGTCCACCATCTGGATCCAAAACTCGAGAAATTGATGGTGAAAACCTTATCATCTCCCCAGCTGATACTCAACTTCCAGCCAAGCGACCTAACCTAAATCGTCCTCAAGACCGACCGCAAACTGGAGCTTTTCTTCTTGCTAACGCTGTCGCTAGAACCCGAGTAAGAATCCTTGTTTACTCTCATTATTTCAGAGAGTAAGACAGCTTATTTGTATCACAACCATCAAAGTCTCAATATCTATCGTCATTAATAGCATCTTGTTCTTCTGTTCTTAAATTATTCCATGATTTTTTCAAACATAATATTAGATTTCACACAAAAAAGTAATATAAATTTTGAAAACAATTCCTTTTTTCATTTTTTTAACTACAAAAGCCTGTGCCTATACGACCTCGCCAACCAAACGATATTTCCAATGCCTGCGTCTCCTTGCCTTCTCAAGCTTCTCCTTTAGCATCGGTAGTTGGGATGACGTCAACAGGTGTGCCTAAGTCGACTGTGAAAGTTGCCACTCCGATTTCTCAACCTTCATCGTCAGGTCCTGCCGCCGCTAGTGGTATGCGCTTGTTGCGTCTAGTCAAGGGTATTGGACTCACTGAAACGCATTCACACGACCCTGAAACTATCACTAGTCCATTCCCGGATATTCAATCTATTGGTGCTTCGGAGAGCTCATTGACTACTACTTGCCTAGGCACCAATATAACAACTATCAATACAGAAACTATGAGCAGCAGCAGTTTTCGCAACTCCAATGAATCAAATCGTGAGTCTCTTATATCTTCGCACATGAATTTAGGCTGTCTTGCAGATGCATTAATATCGTTAAGGGCAGATTTCGTACTCGTTAAGTCCTGTTATAAAATGGGTTGATAGTAAACCTCTGTTTTTTGTTTACTGATTTGCATATAAAAATGGATGTTTCTTACGATTTGTATAAATGTAAGTGGGTTGACCTCACTGTCGAAACTTGGTCTCGTAATCAGGGAGACTTAGTAGAACGCACCTCGTCCGAAGTCATCTGCCATATTAATTGTCATAATTCCCAGCATCAGACAGTGGATTTGGCACATTGTTAAACCTTTCGCCGGCATTGTAGTCGGCATCATCAATGAGTTTTGCCATTCTCCAGACCAAGCTACGAACTCATCAAAGAGACAAGTGAAATCAATCCTTCGTCAAATGTTCTGCCGAAAACGGTTATACTATGTCTCCTCTTTCTGTAATGACCTATCTATCTACTCTTTACTCTCTTATCAAACACCCGCCCTATATCATGCGGCGCCTGCGAACAAAAATATATTGGCGAAACAGGGAAAAAATAAGCACACGAATCAAGGAACATCAGAGACTCTGCAGGAAAATGAATACAGAAAGATTAGAACTATCAGAACACACCGCACAGACTGGACACGAGATCAATTGGAAGGCAACAGAAAGAAGGGCCCCATACGGCGACAACACAAGGAAGCGGAAGATAAGAGGGGCCATTGACATCGTTGGAGAGAAAAATTTAATGAACAGGAGATTAGACGAAGGTAGAGTTAGCGATATTTTTGCCTACTGCCTAAGCAAACTCGGGGAAAACAAGAATAGAGCAAGACCAGCAAAAAGGAGACGCCTGGATCAGTGATATATCGCTAACTGGAGGAAAATGGATCGCAATCAAGAAAGTAGGGGGCAGGGTTCTCAACAATAAAGCGAAGACGTTGTCAGTAAGTGATGTCAATTTCGAATAAACCAGTACACCTTTGGGGGCCTGGCAGTGAGGATGCTCGGCAGACGAATAAGCAAACCGTCACATAAATCCGGAGTTATGGCCCAAATGTACCAGAAATCCACTTGAGATGCCGCATGCGACCAGAGATAGGCGTCCACAGGGCCTGGCGTGAAATGCACACTTAGACTGGTGCCGAGTTAAATCAGTCAACCAGAAAGATAAGGAACAAATCTACGAGACAATGAGGGGATCCGGATTGGAGGCCTGAGTCGGATCAACCGATTGAAAGAAGAGGGGTCTGAGTGAATAGCAAGTGTGATGAGGCCACAATAGATTTGCCACACTATATTTTCCACAAAAGGGCACACATTTTGACGAGTGGAATGTAAACAAGTCAGAAGTTGTGATAGTGTGGGAGTTTGCTAAGAGGGTAAAGAGTAGATTGATAGGCGAGATCAGAAAGAGAAGTGATAGTGTAACCGTTTTCAGCAAAACGTTTGTCGAGAGATTGACTTCACTTGTCTGTTTGACGAGTTCGTAGCTTGCTGCCGAGAATGGCAAAACTCATTAATGATGCCGACTAGGATGCCGGCGAAACATTTGAGAATGTACCAAGTCCACTGTCGGATGCTGGGAGTTATGATAACTACCATAGCAGAGGACTTCGGACTAGTTGCGTTCTCCTAATTCGCCCTGACAACAAGACTTAGTTGCGACAACGATTTCAACCCACTTCTATAAATCGAAAGGAGACTGCGACCATATCAGAGGTCATAACATGGAAGTATTTAAAATTCAATTGTTCAGAGGATTGAATTCACTTGTCTCTTTAATAAGTCGTGGTGGTGTGCTAAAAATGGAAAGGCTCACTGATAATTTATTCTACGTAACGTCTAACAATGTACTAAGTCCTCATTCCGACGCTCATTGAGCTCACATTTTGCACTCCTAAAGTTCTGTTATAAATTAAGTTGATAGTAGACCTTCTTTTTGT